AAAAAGGTCAAATTTGTGTTTCTTTGCCTTTTGCTTATGGGGCAGGGCAGTGTGATAGGTACATTTTTGACACTCTTATCTCTTGTTAAGGTTCCAGAGGGAAAAAAATCCATTGCTTACCTTCACAGTGAAGAAGTGTCACAGCAAGCAGGCACAGCTGCAGAAACAGTTGAGAGCTCACACTTGAGCCCCAAGCAGCAAGTGGAGATAATGAACTAGGAATGGCAACTGGTTTTTTAAACTTCAAAGCCCACCCCCAGTGACATACTTCCTCCAGTAAAGTCACACTACTTAACCCTGCCCAAACAGTGCCACAGACTGGAGACCAAAGATTCAAATGCCTGAGACTGTGGGAGGTGGGTGGCTGTCACTCACCACCACCACCCCATCCTATATCGTTTCAGTACCTAATAAAATCTTCCAGGCTCCAAGGACCTTATCAGGTCAAATGATGACACAACCTTTTTAAAATGAGCCCATTAGGGCTGGGAAGATTCCGCACATAAAGGTGCTTGTTGAACAAGCCTAAGGACGCGAATTAACATACCCAGTTGTCAAACAGAAAGCTAGATGTGCTTCTGTAAATGCCTGTAACTCCACTGCTGTGCAGAACAGGCACAATCAATATAAGGCATGAGACCGTGTCTCAAAGAAACGAGGTGGGAAGTAATAGAGCATGGCACCCATTATCCTCCTGGTCCTACACCTGCTCATAGGCACACATCCCCACACACACAATTTAATTTCTTTAAAAAAGAGCTATTGCTTCAACATAAGCCATTCTCACTTAAACAGAAGCCTGACTGGTGGAGCTAGGGATGTCTCAAAGTGTAACTGAGGCTCAGTGGAGCCCTTGAGTTGCCATTAGCGTAATCTGTGGTGATTGGAAGCTCCTGAGTCATATGAGCATACTATTTGGCCTGTTGATAGAAGTCTAGCATCAGCAAGGACAGATCAGAGTGGGACTGGAAAGCAGCTCAGGACCACCATAGGCAATTCTGGTGTGGCATAAAGAGGGGTTCACAGCAAAGATCACAGCCTCTTTAGTATCCTCTTAAAGATGGCTATGAAGTCCATTTCAAGGCTGTGACAAACTGAGGAGATCCTCTTGCCCCCAAACCACTCCTTTTCCCATTTCATAGGGGACAGGGAACTGGTGGAGCCCAGGTGAGAACACTATAAAAGTTTTCTGAATAAAGTTGATTACAAGAAGAGGAAGGCCTGTTCTGACTTCCAAAGAACTGATCTGTAGTCATCTAGGAAATATTAACCTGAGCAGAACATCTTCCATGGTGGTGCCGAATCAGGGAGAACTCAGCGGGGCTGGGTGAATAGCTGGGAGCTCAGGGTGACCCAGCCAGCGACTCATGGCTTCTATTGCCACATTTCTCAGGTGGGGAACCGGGAACTGTGCTCCCTGCTGCTGCATGTTCTGGCTGTACAGAGAGTTGTTGTGCTTCTGGGTTTCTCTTTGCTCAAATTTACTGGCCAGATGGAACAAACAAGCAGATCTCACGTGTTTTGTTTTGTTTTTGAAGTCCTAGAATTCTAGGAAGGGACCCCTGGAGTACCTGAGTGACCCCATGGGCAGACAGTTGATATTTACCCACTTGTACCTGGAACAGTCCTATGTTCATCTAGCCTCTATGTGGGCATGCCCTGGGAAAGCCCCTTCACATTCATCTTGATGGCTGACGATGTGGCTCAGTAGCAGAGTGTTTGCCTAACATGTACAAGGTCCTGGGTTGTATCCCCAGTATTCCAAAAAGCAGAAAGTTATTGAGTAACTTGGAAAATTGCTGACAAGCAGTAAACTAGACTGTCTTGAACTCTTCTCTTGCTCCAGAATCCTGGTGGTGTCCAGGAACGTGCAAAGTCTGGAAAGGGGACTACTGTGATGTGCTGGCTTGTCCTTCACACTCAGCACTAGAACTTGGCTCTGTGGGCTTGAGGAGTCCTGGGAGCAGTGTTCCCACCATGTCAGCCAAGCAGGGTGGAGCTCTGCCAGGGCAAGTGAGCTCACAGCATGCACAAGTTGGGCGTGGGATCACCAGTCAGAGGTTAGAGACCAGAGCCAAGGAGAGGCCAGTGTCATTGCTTGGGAGACTTCAAATGTCTTAGTGACATTCTTTATCAGTAAACACAAACAGATACAAACAAAATAGAAGCCTGCATCTACCAAGAACAAACACATTTATTATAAATAATACATATTCACATCACCATGTTAAGTTATATACAATATAAAGCAAACAAAATAGATACTTAAGGGTAAGAAAAAGACCTCCATAGCAAATCATCTTTCACCTCACTCTGGAAAAACCTGAAATGATGACTAGGAAGAAGCTGGGTGCTGCAGGAAACTGGCAGAACAATGAGGAAAGGAAGAAATGGCACCTAATACAGGGTTGGTGCCATCTCCCTGTTCAGCCATGACCGAGTACTATCTGTTCTGTTGTCCACTCAGGAGCTTTCTGTAAACTGACCCACTTCTTTGTTTCTTAAACTTAACCTCACTGCACAAAAGAATAGAATTTTATGTGGCTAGATTCGTCTCCCAGTGTCTATAAGATGCATACAAAACAATCCAGAGAGAATGCTTGTCCACATACCCCCTGAAGATTACTTGTTGGTCCCTTCTTGTGTGATGGGGACTACCTTGTGGGAAACTCTCATCTAGCATCTGGCTTCAGATTAGGTGGGGAGAGCAGGAGCCACCCCCCCCCCCCAGAGTGAGCCTCCAGAGGGAACTTGTGGGATTGCCACCACAATTCCAGGGGCTGGCTACACTAAGAGAGCACATGTGTGTGATGGGGGCGGGCAAGTCAGACATCTCCGCATGAGAGAACTTTGTGAACAACAGTTGTAGACTGTTGGGCTCTGGACCACCTGACCCATGCCACAGCTGCTACAACCCATTGCTGCTCCTGCCTGCACCAAAACTTCCCATGTTATAATGGATGCAGGCAGTGATCCATTCACATATCCAAGAGGTCACCCTATGCTGGGGAGCCCATGGCCTAGTAGAGGATGGCCAGGACTAAACAAGTAAAACAAAGGGGATGTCTGTGCATGTGATTAGAGATGCTGTCGGGAGAAACAGAAAAAAAGTCGGGGGCAAAGAGGACACATTTTCTGGGAAGAATTCCAGATAATTTATGCAAATAGGATTGAGGGGTGTGGGACAATATCTAAGGGTCCTAATGTTGCGACCCTTCAATACAGTTCCTCATGTTGTAGTGGCCCCAACCATGAAATGTAAATCTCTGTGTTTTTCTGTGGTCTTAGGTGACCCCTGTGAAAGAAGCATTCAACTCCCAAAGGGTCGCGATCCACAGGTTGCGAACCACTGGTCTAAGGGCTTTGCTAGCATGCCCAAAGCCTCAGCTATGCCCTAGGCCCCTGCACTGCTAACAGTAACAACAACAACAGTGCTTTATGTGGGGACTTCATTCCACAGAATGTAAACTGACCCACTTCTTTTTCTTAAACTTAACCTCATTGCACAAAAGAATAGGCCAGTTTACATGGTATAGAAGAAGGAGAATAACTTGACCATAAAGAAGCCTAGTACTAGCATGGCCAGTACAGGACTAACACCCAGTCTTCACATTAGGTTGCCAGTGTGTGTGCAGGCTATGATGTCACAAGAAGGATACTTTCCATTGTGGTCTTCCTCTGTGAAACCCATAGCCCCAGCCTAATGGTTGGGGGAGAAAATCTGACAAACTCCAATTCTGGGATTTGCAAAATTTCTGGCCAGGACACCGTACACTATCAGGCTCATCAAAAATGAGGAAAGTCTGAAAAACTCTGATGGCCCAGCAGAGCCTAAGCACAGTGACTGGATCTAATGAGATCATAGAACAAAAAGGACATTGGGGAAGGGAGTGAAATCTGAACAAGTTCACAGTTTAGCCGGCACTCAAAAAGAACTAAGGAAAAGAACAGACGAGGAGAGTGACCACAGCATCTCCAAGGATGACACTTAAAATGAGCATTGGAAGATGTTACTGAGTAACACCCATGTCTGAGAAATGTGGGCCATTTGAGAGTCAGCTATCAATAAGCCTCATATGGCCAGAGTGGGGAGCAGCATGGCAGAGAAGGCCAGGGGGTGAGATCAGAGGTGGACAGGGCCAGGCGTAGGAGGTGTCAGGCCCTGAGTGTCAAGAGAAGGCATTGGGAGCTTAGTTCCACTTAATATCGCTAGGTTTGTGTGGAGACCAAATGAGGATGAGAGAGGAAGCAGAGCAGCTGAGACCCCAGGACAGGGCACCAGCTCGGGATGACCAGCACCCATCTGAGAAAGTCCTCACTGCGTGACAAGGGCTTTTGCTGGGGATCCCAGGAAGCAAAGCATCGCACTTGACTTCCAGGTGTTTCTTCTGCTCAGTGGTCCTTAACATTTAGGGAAATAAAAATGTATACTGCAATTTAAGTAGGTTGCTGTAAGTTGCTCTCCCAGAGTTGGGAAAACCAAAATGAGTCCTAACTTGCCTCTGCCATGCAGAGGTTGTAAATGGAAAGGGGACACATGGCCTCTGTCGTGTGAGAACCGTTTCTGGAGTGTAAAGTGTAAGGACTCACTAGCCACATGTTGTCTTCTGAGCTGCCGCCCACCCTTTGGAAAGGAAATGTGGTAACAACCAGCATCAAGTGTCTTTTTAAATCAGAATTCTCAACAGAAGAAGTTCAAATGGCCAAAAGACACTTAAGGTCATGTTCACCTTCCTTAGCGATCAGGGAAATGCAAATCAAGACAACTTTAGGAAATATGTTTGTCCGAGTCAGGACTGGTGTCTTGGTTTCACTCAGATGGACAGAGATGCCTGACCTAGACAGTTTCTGCTCACATGTTGCGGGTGTTGCTTCCACTGTTGAGACTTGCTCTGCATGTGTGGGGTGCTTTACACTTGCTTGGTCTAGACCTTGAAGAGGCTTCTGAGTTTCTGTTATTGATGCCAGCTGAGCTCACCTGACTCCATGTTTGCTTCCAGAGATCGAGATGGTGATCATGGAGCGCAGCAGGCTCTCGGAGCTGGCCACTGCTGGGGCCTCAGTGCGGGAGCAGAACACCACGGACGAGGAAAAGAGTGCTGCCACAGGCTCAGAGAGCACGCAGTGGAGCAGGTAGGCAGCAGGGCACTTCTGGGAGGTACTGGACAGCCACTCAGCCTTGGGAAGAGGTCACTGCCCCACCAGATGGCTGCTTTGATCCCCTTTGTTCTCTCTGCTCCAGTCTCTGGCCACCCAGAGGCATAAGAAGAGAGCTGGCCCTTGACACGTGCTTATACCCTTATCCTTTGAAAGGTGACCAGGACAGGACATCACCACTGGAACACTTGGCAGCTAGGCTGGATCTAAAGGATAGAGACCATTCCCAGGAGGACCCTCTTGAGAGCCAGGCATAAAGTTCCCATCTCAATCCCTGATTGTTATGCTCCTCTACAGCTCTGAGACCTTTGGCACATAGTGCAGTCTACTGCTGCCCCCTGTCATGGTCCAGTACCATGACACTCACCTCAGGATGGCTTGTGGAGCTAATCTTGAACCTTGCTCTGCTTATTTCCTGCAGTCTTTCTCAGGCTCATCAACTATAGCAAGGGTTGCTCCCACAGCCTGCAGTGAGGTGCTGGAGGGCATCTTCATTTTAGGGTTGTTTACTCACCTATTAGGCAGCCACACTACACAGGCCTCAGCAGCAGTTTAGTGTGTTAGTTAGTGTTAATGCAGGTACCACTGGTGTGGGGGTTTGGTCTCCCTGGGGCACACTGACTTCCTGAAACCTCAAGATGTGGCCAGGAATGTACTCCTTCCACATGCATACCTCATTTGTTAACCTAGTTTAAAGCACTGAAGCATACTTATTTTCAGTTTTCTCTCCGTATCTTGTTGGTTGGTGGGTGTGTGGGTGGTGCTGAGGATGGAGGTCAAGCCCTCCATCGAGTAGGTCAGTATCGTGTTGCTGGCAGAGCCATGTTCATTACCAGTTCTTATTTTCTTTGTTTGGGCGGTGTTAGGCTGTCTAACAGACAGGGTTAATTTGTAACAGATGCATAAGAGAACAGTTTTTTATTTCATTAACTGAAAAACATTGACTAACACAGTATTAGTTATCAGTTGTGACCTATAAAGCTTTTCACAATTTTGCTTAACAAGATGTAACCCCTGAGCTCTGAAAATGAAGGACATCATTCTAAACGTAGAAGAGACAGGTTAGAAGCATGGCCTAGCATTAGTTAGAATTGGAAAAACCACAAATGACAAACAGTAGATAATGCTTAAGCAAATGAGATCTGTGTGCTTACAGAATATTAGCTGCTCATTTCCCTGTGACCCTGTGTAATGTGCAGGTTTTAGGATCCTGAAACAGTGACACGATAGCTTTGTGAAAGGGAGCGGGAAACCAGGGTATTATACATAATTAGTGGACTTGATGACTTCTTTTTTCCTGCATTTTAGGGAATGGAGGGGTTTTCTTAGAGTTGATTGGGTTCTTTTTAACCTTAGATGACTAACTGGCTACTGTGACTACATAACTTTCTACTTAGCAGAAGCTGACTTGAGTGCCTGGAGGTGAGCTGCCTACAGGCCTGAACCAAGTTCTCTGTGTGTCCCCGAGACTGAGACAGCAATCCTAGTGCCCACCTCCTAGCAGTGAGGCTGGGAGCAAGTAAGTGAAGGAAGATGGCCATTTGTTCCCCAAAGCATCAGTTCAATCTTGACATCTATTCCACCACAGTGAGAACTGGAGCTACTGTGAATTTCCTTGTATAGTGTCCTGCCTGCACTCAGGAGCAAGTTAGACACCCCCACCCCCACCAAAAGCAAACAAACAAAAACAAAAGCTGTTTTTGTTTTGCTTTGAGACAGTCTTAATAAATTGTTCTTCCTGGCTGGCCTGAAATCCACAGAACTCCTCCACCTGCTTCTGCCTTTTGAGTGCTGGGGTTAAAGGTGTGTACCACAGGCCCAGCTCAGCAACCTTTAAGGATACATAAATGATGATGCACATTCTAAAAAATGTGAAAACTCCAGAAGTGCAAAGAAGAAATAAAAGTCAATGATCCCAGATGTTCCTGTTTTGATTATTTCTTATCAACTTTTTCAGGACCATTTTTCTGGGCATTGTGCCCCCTTCTCTAGTTCATGCCTGTCATGTTTTATTTCTCCTTTTGCTGTCCGATATCAAACCCCACCATCTTTGTCACATCATTACCTTTAGTAAACACACGCTTAGTAGCTTCATAATACTCCATCTCATACCTAAAAGACAGCACACCCACCAAGCCTTTGGTGCTTGATTATTTGTATTATTCCCAAGTGTAAAGACAATCCAAATTGTGAGCAGCTGGTTTACAAGAAATGTTTTACAATTTATACTGCTCTCAACTTTGGCAGAATTATTGCTAGAAAACTCACAAAACTCAAATCTCCACACAATAGGGTTGTGGACAGGTCTGAATGGAGGAGCCCCATCCTGGGCTCTAGAAAATAGAGACTGAATGTCAATGTTCACTTTAAGGTCTTTCCTTATAATTTTTGTGTGTCATGTGTTTATTTGAAACACAACAAATACATTTTTACTACTTTATTTTCATTTTTCAGCTTAATATTTTGTGTTGATACATCAGGATTTGAGGGCTTAGGATGAGGAGCTAGGAGTATAACTCTAATGGAGCTCTTGCCCAGCATGCTCAGGGTCCTCCACTCTATCCCGCACTGTCCCATCAAAGGCCTACAGTATTCAAAATGGTGTGGAAGACTCTGCAGCGGATGATCTGCCTTGAGCAGCCGTATTTTCACCCTCATAGGTAGTCCATGCTGCGAATACCCATGTGACTTCTGGGCGTTAAATATATCCTTGTTCACTCTGGAGTACTTGGCATTCTTGACCTCAGCCTGGTATTCAGTGGGCAACCTCAGATGGGATCAGAGTCTCCTGCCTCAGACCTGCCCGTGTCCATTCTCTTGTCTGTTACTGAAGAGTCTTGCTAGCCTTGACCCTACACTAAGAAAGACAGCCTTTGGGATGTGCATTTTCCAGGTTATGGCAACTCTTTATATCTTATTCACAGAGCACAAGAGGTGAGAGACCTCACTATCAATTCTTCTAGTCAAGGAATATTAGCCCAAGAAATTGCTGAATCAGGACACTGCCAAAATGAAATCATGGAGAAGTGTCCTTGAAATATTAAATATAACAATCAAATACAGTGCATGACCCTATTCCGAGACCCTCCAGTCAGCCTCTAGCTGGAATGCTTCTGTGTGGTTGAGGAGGTGGGACAGTTATGGCACTCAGCAGGAAGAAGACAGATCAGCATCTGAACCCAGGCAGTCTGACTCCATAACTGTACTTTTAAACTTACTCATGTGCCTGGCCAGGTGGTATCGGTCCATTAGAGCATCCCGTTTTCTTCTTTATTCTCTCCATCTTTCCTTTAAAGTGATGATGTGTGCCTGTGTTGTCTCTGCCAGCTGGCAAGGGAGTGCAGAATGGCTGGCACTTGTACCTAGCGTCTCCAGCATCTGAGACACCCAGTGAGTGATGTCAAATGACTAAGAGGTCACTTTCCCCTCTGGATAGCAGCTTTCCAAGGTCAGAGCCCATCTCTCATTTGTACGGTTGTGTTCCCAGTGCCTGATTCTGCACCAGGCACATACTGTGTTCACCACAAACTAGTGGCCTTAGAGTCCAGACCTATAAGAAACAAAACCAGCTGTTGCTGTCAGGTGAGAGAGGGAAAATGTGCATTGTGTCCAGAGGATTATAGACCTCTCCTCTTTTCCAGGCCCTTCCTGGATATGGTATACCATGCCCTGGACAGCCCCGATGATGATTACCATGCCCTCTTCGTGCTCTGTCTCCTATACGCCATGTCTCATAACAAAGGTAGGCATGCTCCTCACCATCTTCAGTGTCTGACACAGTGCTCTCCTGTTCACTGGTACGGAGGGAGGAGGAAGGAGGGAGGAGGGAGGGCATTTTGGGAAGGCGTTTCCTTTCTGGCCTCTGAAGTGACTACTACAGTGCTCTTCTTCAGCCACATTACAATTTCTCAGGTGTTTTTCTGCAGACTGAAGCCACAGGCATTGGTGACTCAGGCATGGTGGTGGGAAATTCAAGTGTGGCTGTCTAAACCAGTGAGGCCAGCTTCCCACTGTGGCTTTCTACAGACCCCTCTCTGCTTTACAACTAACCTGACCAACGACCACTTTGACATCAGAGCAAAACCAGTCAAATTGGAACCTTGGTTTTGCTATTTATAATACTCGATGTTCTTACCGTGGGCTCAGTGCTAAAATAGACTTAGGTGGAAGTGTAGGTTTCCTTTCTGAAGAGAGGTGTGGTTCTCCAGCTTCCCTGGCTCAGGCTGTGTGTGTGGCCAGGCCCCAGTTCCAAAAGAACTGACAGTTGACTGACATACACCAGTTCCTCCCTCAGTGCCCAGTGCTGGGAAAAGCTTCTGCTGTTGGCCCACCTGGTTCCCCACATTCAAGTTTGGAGACTTTTCTCAAGAATATTCATGAGGACTGGAGTTGGCATAGATTGACACATGGTGTCAAGTGACATTGCAGGAGGTTACTATTCAGCTTGTTGGGAGTAGATGTCTACTAAGTGCTGTTTGCTAAGACAGCCTATGGCCAGAGTCATTAAAGCAGAGCTAAATCTCAGTTATTTTTAAATCATTCTTAAACATTAGTCATGCAAATTAAGTCAGTTAGCAGCACAAAAACATGTAGTGGAAAATGCCTCCCCTCTGCTTTGTCCCCAGCCTTCTTCTTCAAGACAGCTTCTGCATCAGTTTCTCACATGCCCTCTAAGGAAGCTGTTAAGAAGAAAACCAGCTGCACCCGTAGCCACTAGTGGGTGTCCATGTGACTTGCTGCTGGGTGCTTCTCATCTCTGGAAATGCATGCTGCATGTCTGGGCCATAACTGGTTCTGTCTCCTTAGTAACTACAGTAGGCAGCCTCCAGAGTTTCTTCTCTAGAAGGATATTCTCAACAGCTCTGCTCAGTGTAAACCATTCTGCTTATAATGAAGCTAAAGACCTGGTCTCAAGCCACCACTACCTCTTCCGTCTCTTGCTCCTCTTCCTCCTCCTCCTGTGGTTTAGGGTAGAGATGGAACCCAGAATCCCATGTATTTTAGCCCAGTCTTACAACTTGAGACTTTAAAGAGCATGACAGGCTCCAATTCCTGCTGATGTTGTGTCTGATCCCCTCCCACACATACAGTCTCCTTCCTTCCCCTATGGCCCCTCCAACACCCCGCTCACTGCCTCTACCCTAGAATTCATTACTGGAAGTCAGACAACTCCATGACCGATTCTGTAGTCAGTTCCTGCTGGTGGCATGCTGGATGCCTCTGCCCAGTGTTCCAGCACACCTTGCCAGGCTGCATTCATCCCGTAAATATACACTCCCTGCCATTCTGTTTTTGTTAGCATTGCCATTCAGAGTCACAGCTGCCATGACCATTAGCACTTTGCTTCCTTTGTTCCTGACAGTTTCTCATCAGTTTGTCTGTTCTCCCTTTCTGACATGTACAGGGCTGGCTCAAGCCTGGCGTGGAGATGGAAACCAAGGCAGGAGTAAAGAGAAAAATGAGGGTGGGCCTACTGTCATGGTTATTATCTTAGGCCTGCGATTATCAGCTCCCGCTCCAGTCACGGGTATTGCTGTTTATTGTAGTACACCTTCCATAGAACCCCTTACAGCGAGACTGCTTTGACTCTCTGTCCTTTGCTATTCAGGAACATTAAATTTCTCCCTTAACTTCCACCCCTCTCCCCCATACCTGCTCTGTAGACTATCAAGACCACCTTGGCATTTACCTCTCCAGTATGTCTTGCTTCCTCCCTGGCTGGTGACCCCTTCTTCCTAGAGTCCTCTGTGTCTAGCTGTCCCTTCTATACTTCCTGTCTAGATACTGGCCAGTCAGCTTTTAATTAAACCAATCCAAGTGACAAATCTTCACAGTGTACAAAAAGATTATTCTACAGCAGGTCAGTGTTGGCTAGGGATGGTATCATACATAGCACATACTGGTCCTAGGGCCCAGCCCTGTGTGTGGGACTCTTCTTTGGAAGCCCAGGAGCCACTCTAGTTAGTGCAACATAACACCTGTTCCTCAGAGAATCTGCACCTTCTTGAGCTCATTCCTAGTCTTTCGGGTTATTTTCTCTTTTTCCAACCACCACTATGGAGGTTCCTCTCAGAAGTCACCTTCTCCAACGTTCTTTTCAGCTCTCTTTGGTGACACTCTGGGTTAATGCTACCAGCTATGAAAGTTTATGGACCTTGCTAGATTTGACCTGTTACATTTTCTTAAGGATTTTTTTTTTTTTTGAGTCAAGATCTCGTGCATACCAGTCTATCTTGAAATTCACTTTGTAGCTAGGGATGACTGTGAACTTCTGCTTCTCCTGCCTCCGACCTCCCAAATGCTGAAATTGCAGATGTGCACCATCATTCCTGGTATAGACAGTGCTGAGGCCTCATCTGAGTTTGATATGCAACCCTCACTGTTAAGGATTTTTGTATGTGTGTTCATGGAACACTGATCTATTTATAGACTTCTTGCAATTCTCTTATCTGGCTACACTGCAGTGATGTACCTTAGAGTGTAGACTGGCTTGGGATATATATATATATATTTTTAAAGCTAGGATTATTTCTTTTGTAAGTATTCTTTGAGCCAGTGGAGCTGTGTGGACAAGGTATTTTCTATGAGGATTTTTTTGTTTTGTTTTGAGATCAGATATGTAGCCTAAGATAGCCTCAAACTTGCAACTCCTCTGTCTTAGCCTCCTAAGTGTTGGGATTACAGGTGTGTTCCACCACACCCAGCTGAAGGAAGGTTTTAACCATCAAATTTCTTATTGGAGATATTAGATCATTTCTTTCTTTTGAATGAGTTTTGATGATCTTTCAAGGACTTTGTCATTTCATCTAACCTATAAAACTTATTATTATAAGGTTCAGACAATCCCATTTATTAATTATTTTTCTCAGTGTCTGGGGTTATATTTAGAAAGAGTTCTCCTGTGCCAATGTGTTCACGTCTAGTTTCCACTTTCTCTTCTATGAGGTTGGTTTTATGTTGAGGCCTTCAATCCATTTGGACTTGAATTTTGTGCATGGCAGTAGATATGGATCTATTTTCATGTTGATACCCAGTTATGCCAGAACCATTTGTTGAATATACTTTCTTTTTTCCCTTTTATATTTTTTGCTTTTTGTCAAAAATCAGGTGTTCGTAGATGTGTGTATTGATATCTGGGTCTTTGATTCGGTTCCATTGGCCCTCCTGTCTGTTTTTATGCCAATACCTGGCAGTTTTCAGTACTCTAGCTCTGTAGTAAAGTTTGAAGTCAAGGGTTGTGATGCCTCCAGAAGTTCCTTTATTGTACAGGATTGTTTTGGCTATTCTGGGTTTTTTGTTTTTTTTTTTTTTTTTTGCTTTTCCATCTGAAGTTGAATGTTATTCCTTTGAGGTCTTTGAAGTATTTTGCTGGAATTTTGATGGGCATTGCATTGAATCAGTAGATTGCTTTTGATAAAATTGCCATTTTTACTATGTTAATTATACCTACCCAAGAGCATGGAAGATCTTTCCATTTTCTGGTGTCTTCTTCAATTTCTTTCTTCAAAGATTTAAAGTTCTTGTCACACAAGTCTTCCACTTCTTTGGTCAGAGTTACTCCTAGATATTTTATGCTATTTATGGCTATTGTGAAGGCTGTTGTTTCTCTGATATCTTTTTCAGCCCATTTATCAAAGGAGGGCTACTGATTTTTTTTTTTTTGAGTTAATCTTGTATCCTGCTACATTACTGATGATGTTTATGAGTTGTAGAAGTTGCTTGGTAGGATTTTGGGGGTCACTTATGTAAACTATCATATCATCAGCAAATGTATTTTTACATCAATGTTCATGAGTAAGATTGGTCTATAATTCTCTTTTTTAGTAACATCTTTTGGTGGTTTGGGTATCAGGGTAATTGTAGCCTCATAAAAAGAGTTTGACAGTGTTCCTTTTGTTTCTCTTGTGTGAAACAATTTGAGGAGTATTGGTATTGAAAATCTTGTAGAATTCTATGCTGAAACCATCTGGTCCTGAGCTTTTTTTGGTTGGGAGACTTTTGATGACTATTTCTATTTTTTTTTTTTAGCAATTATAGGTCTATTTAATTTGCTTATCTGGTTTTTATTTAATTTTGGTAGTGATATTTATTCAGAAAGTTGTCCATTTCCTTTAAGTTTTCTAATTTTGTGGAGCACAGGTTTTCAAAATATGACCTAAGATTCTCTGGATTTCCTCCATGTTTGTTGTTGTGTCCCCCTTTTCATTTCTGATTTTAGCTCAAGCTTCTTATTAACTAACTCTTACATCTTAAATTATCCCATAATTCTTGTCTGTGTTAGCCATGTGGCTTGGTACCTTCTATCAGTGAGGCACCCTCATCTTGCTTCCTCTGCAACTGGGTGATGACTGCAGACTCAGCCTTTTCTCTTCCCAGAATTTTCATATTCTGGTTGCCCTGCCTATACATCCTGCCTGGCTACTGGCCAGTCAGTGTTTTATTAAACCAATACAAGTGACATGTCTTTACAGGGTACAAGACCATTGTCCCACGGTATTTTCCTATGGACAGGACAGCTTCTGTAAGGATGAAGCAGACTGCTTCAGGCAAAGGGCCTGCAGTGGGGAAATACATACGTATTCAAGGAGTAGGATGTAGGCCTAGTAGGGCTGGTGGGGGAGCCAAGTATAGTGGGAAACCCTTCTCTAGGGGTAGGAAAATGGCCTCAGGGATGCTGGGGAGATGGCTTTGTGGTTAAAGAGCACCAACTGTTCTTCCAGAGGACTCAAGTTTGATTCCCAG